CGAACCTGCTAGCGATGGCCTCCAACCTACTAGCGATGGCCTCCAACATACTAGCGATGGCCTCCAACCTACTAGCGAAGGCCTCGAACCTACTAGCCATGGCCTCCAACCTACTAGCAATGGCCTCCAACCTACTAGCAATGGCCTCCAACCTACTAGCAATGGCCTCCAGCCTACTAAGCGATGGCCTCCAACCTACTAGCGATGGCCTCCAACCTTTATTTCTGAAGTCACCAAAGTTGTGTGTTCGCTTTTCTTCTTCCGTGGCATTGTTTCTCTTGAGGATGATGGGCAAGTTCGTCTCTGGACTTTTAAGGTTAGAGATACAATGAAAAACCTCACAAAATCCTACTGTGCAACGTATGGCAGGGCTGTGAATCGCCAAGAGCGCCGAGATACGCAGTTTCAGCCCTAGCATGCTGAGGATGTGGAATTGCCCAATTCGGGAGCCGCCAGAGGCCAATTCAGAGCAACATTTTGGGCATTTCTGGTTTCAAGGGTGAGCGCCCACCTTGACATGCTACTAGTAGCAAGGACGCTACTAGGGGCTCCTGGCATCGCTACTAGGAGCAAGGACGCTACTAGGAGCAAAGGGCATCGCAACCAGGAGCAAGGACGCTATTAGGGGCTCCATGCCTTACTACTAGGAGCAAGGACGCTACTAGGAGCAAGTGCCACGCTAGTAGAATCAAGTGCCTTACTAGTAGTAACAAGAAGCTACTAGGGGCTCCTGTTACTCACATGTTGATCATTTGTGTTTTGCGTGTTCCGCTCCAGGCAACCTGGTGAAGTACGCCTTGGGCGGTGAGACCAAGCCCACCAAGCCTCATGTCAATGAATTTGGAGCTCCAACGGAACCACCACGCAAGAAAATCACATTTGGTGTTTTCCATGTGATTTTTGGGGAGTAAGATGGGTCATCTATGGTGATTGTTGCTGCATCTTCGTGAACCCACCCAAAGGCTGGAATGGGAATCGCTCGCCATGCTTCCGAAGTTGCGATGGTCAAGTGGCGCACTCGCCAGCGTTCAATGCAAACATAAGCATGAAAGACCCGCTAAGGGTCCTCGAACCATGGCTTCATTGGGATTTGGGAATGAAAGACGAATGGGAACATGATCAGGCCTGAAGTCGGGGCGAAGTTATCAACTGAGGATTGTCCACCAACATTCAAGCATTATGAAATACTTTTTGCAACAGGAGTATGCCTTCAAAAATTGCCAGAATCAGTGAAAAAAGCATGTTGGAAATGAGTGCTGAAATTGGTGGTTTGGGAGAATCAGCATTCTAGAGCCTGCTTTTGAACCTTCGCCCAGGAGTTTTTGACTTTCAAAGAAACAGACAGCAACCTCACAAAAGCGGAGTGTAATGAAATGGATAAAGGATGCACTCACTTTATTCTAGATTCTAGATACAGAGTAGACTGAGTAGACATTGATTGATAGGTTTGCAAGTGAAGTATTGCAAAAAATGATAGCAACATCAAAAACAAAAGTGAATGTGAGTTTCCTTTTTGCAAGCCTCGGATCATGGATGAATTGGAGAGCAATGCCCGTGCGTGGGCAGATGCGATCAGCGCCGAGTTGCATCGCAGTGATGCAGAGATCAGGAAGATGGATTCAGCGACAGATGGGTTTTCATCTGCTGTTAGCAGTGCTGTTAGCCCACAGAGAGAGATAGAGAGAGGCCATTGGGCCTCAGCCTGGGTGGAATGCTGCAGTGTTTCTTTTTGCAGAGCAAAGCATGTTTGGCCAGCGCGATGAAAAAGGGAAGGCTTCGCTGCAAAGCATTGAGAGGGAAGGTTCACTAGACATAGATTTTCCATGATTTTCCAGAGTTCTTGTTCACAACACTGATTTCCCACATCCACTAGACACTGATTTCAGGGTTTTGCCCCTGATGCAGAAAAGTTTTTCATAATTCAAGCACTCGAAGACCAAGAAACAGGAACGCAACAGCAGCAGTTCTCATTGAAGGCATTTTTCCGAGAAAAAGAGCTTTTTTGCCCACTTTTGAGTCGGATGACAAGTCATCTCAAGTCATCAGTCATCTCTGGTTGCAGACCAGAAG